ACATGTAATGGCAGCAAGGGTCCCATCTATGATGAATGATCCGACTTGTCCTTGTGGCATGGCTGACAAATCTTCACACGTTGAGGAGCGTCACCAGTCTTTTGAGGCCGATGGCATGATGGCTGATTGTTAATGCGAAGGGTAGCCAGAACCAGGGGTTCATATCTATTGACTACCTTCTCCAACTGCATGGCCGAGATGTTTCCTGCGGCCATCTTTATAGTAAAGCATGGTATAGTGCAGGGCTTGGTCCCGTTTTCTCCCATCATCAGGAGCATGTTGGCATATGGTACCGGTATGGTGTTGGTTTGCCTCATGAACTCCAAACCCACTATTATGTCGAAGTCATCTATGATTGTGATATGCAGGTCGATGCTTCCTTTGTATGGGCCAAGTTTCACTAGGACATCTATAGCTGTTCCACCCAATGTCTGGGGTGGCGAGTTGATTGCCTTGACGCGGCCTTTACTATTTTGCACAACTAGACTCAGGCGCTCTACCTGAGTTGAAGCCAAGTAGTTGTGGGTAGCACCCATGTCTATCAATGCGTGAATGGGCTTGCCGTTCACTTTCAATTCAACGAACATTAGGGTCCTTGCTTGTTTAGGAGGCCTCTCGTCCATCTTTTCCTTATATTTCTTGGTGGTTGGGCCTGAGATTTTCTTAAGAGGACATGCACTGGTCCCCACTAATGCATGTGGGATAGAGCCAACAATTGCATTGAAGGCGCCTACCTGGTCTGCTTCTGATGTGTCTGATGCATCTGACTTATCCTCGACAGTTTGATGAGCATTGATCTTTATGTTGGGATATTCATTGTTCCAATGTGCCCTACCGCAATGACGACATTTTGAGGGAGGCTTTCTCCCCTGATTGTTGTTGATGGTTGCAGCACCGTTGTTGCTGGAGGGAGGAGTCTTAGTTTTGGATGCACTCCGATCTCCTCCACTTTTGCTTGGGCCACCATTGCTGGGATGGTTCGCGTTGAATCCCCCTCAGACAGGCAGTTGGGGCCTGTCGTTCTGAGTTCCCAAGTGATAATCGCCAAGGCATTCTGCAGCTTGAATGACCTTGGTCAGGGTGTCTATCCGTTATTTCTGTAGTTCCATACGAGCATGAGGTTTCAATCCTTCTATGAATGCGAAGAGTTTGTCTTTGTCCCCCATGTCGCGTATGTTTAGCATGAGTGCGGAGGATTCGCGCACGTACTCCCGCACTGACCTGGTGTGGCGGAGCTCCCGTAGCTTTCTCCTTGGATTGTATTCCACATTTTCGGGGAAGAACTGCAAGCGTATGGCTGCCTTTAATTCATCCCATGTCTAGAGAGTATCTTCACCGTCCTTGATGGCTTCGTATTTGACCCGCCACCAAAGTTTGGCATCGCCCTGAAGATACATGGCACCAGTTGCTACCTTTTTGGATTCTTCCAAATGACAAATTTTCCACTTCCTTAGCATCCCGAGATCCGTCGTATGGTTTTGGCTCCGGTATCTTAAGTTTTTGTGGAATGGGGGTGATGTTTGCTGCACCCTTGATGTGGTTGTCGCCTCCTCGAAGTAGGCTCTATAGGGAAGCATTGACAACGTTGAGCTGGCCTGTCAAGTCGTCTATAGTTTGCTGCATGGCAGTTAGTATGTCTGCCTTTTGTTCCTGATGGGCTAAATCGTCGACACGCTCCTGTTGGAGGTCCTCAAATTTGCCATGAATATTGGCAGTTTCAATGGCTGTCGTTTGTCAGTCATCCTCAGAGTCGCAACTGATGTTTGCAATGTCATTTTCCGTCTGCCGCATTCTGTGGTCCAGGTCATCCAACCTTTGCACCAGGTTGTTGTTTTGATCAGGCACCATATTCACGATGGGTCGTAATAGGTCAACTGTCTCTTCTAGGGATGCTAGGCGCTCCCCATGATTCACTATGGTCAGAAATGGTGATGATGGCAAATGTGTTCCCTCGTCCGATGTCGAGCCTAGGCTTTGATACCAACTGTTATGCAACGCTTTCCTCATGTTCTTTGGAAGGGCAACGTAAGGCTAAGCAACCGATGTCAGTGCGATTGTTGTCCGCCAATGAGGTCCCCCCCGCAAGCTAGACTAGATTGTTAGTGTCGTGAGGGAAAACCAATGTCACGAGCAATTGCGGAAGCTGAGAGAGAATTGGGTTTTGAATGCTGATGATGATTTTATTGATGAATGAAAGCTGATTACAAAAGATGCGGTGTCGAGGGGGAGAGACAACAGTACAGAAAATTAATTGCTTGATCCCCCTTAATAATGCTTAAAAAAATTAACCAAAGTTACATGACTTGCCCTAATAAAGTTGTAGAAGCACACTGAATGAAAATGATGTAAACTAGCATATAATTACAATGAAAAGGACTTAGTTTATTACAATGTAGAAACAAGTCTGATGGCAGTAACTTTGTCTTGCGGGTCAGGATCTGCGCGCGCGGTGTTGTTGGCACGCGCGACACTTGTTGTGTTTGCCTGAGGCTGGGCGCTGGTGCTTGGCATCAGGGTCTAGGGTCTATGCGCGAGGCGCTGCTGGAATGGGCCTGCAACTGGGCGCTGCCGAGGCATCAGGATCTGCGCGCGCGGCATTGTCAGTGCGCGCGGTGCTGTTGTCATTGGCTAGCCGCTGGGCACTGGCGAGAGGTATCGGTGGGGCGACAAAGGCACATGCGCGTTTGTCACTTGGCGCAGCCAAGACCATAGGGCCGACCATGGTGCTAGGCATTGTGAGGCTTGCTAGGCCGCCATGGGGCGCAGGGGTCATGGGGCGTGTCTGGAAAGCAGCCCACGACAGATTAAACATGAGAGTATAATATTCCATAAAATATTACTTAGAATATAATACACCTATTAAAAGAAACAAAAAGGTAATAAAAGTTTTGGAATAGGGTTAGAAATAGGGTTTTTTCCAGAGCAAAACTAAGGCATCGACATCATCACTATTCTCTTCAGCCGCGCGCCTTCAACAATCAACAAATGGAGAAGAAGAATTTTGCAGGAAGAAACTCGTCAATACCCCGAGAAATAATCTTTGAAATATTCTCGTGGCTTCCTGCTAGATCTGTAATGCGTTTCAAGTGTGTTGCCAGATTCTGTAATTCCTTTATATCAGAGGCAAACTTTGTGAATATCCATGCACGTCGCTCTATATATGACCCGTCCTGGTGGAACAAAATTCTTTTTGCGCGAAAAGAAATCAGTTTTTTATACTATTGAGCCAAAAGAAGATGGAAAATACTTTGCCACCCTTCTTCAAATTGGGAGATTTGATGAACTCTACAACCATGCTCCTGTGAATTCTCGTTTGGATTAAGTTAACGGTTTATTTTGCTTATGGGGACCATCATCTGTGGAACCTGCAGCGATTTTCAATCCCAGTACAGGAGAAGTAAGACTTCTTCCCAACCTAAATAAAGATTTTGCTTGACGTAGCTATTCATTAGGTTTTGAAGCAGAAGAAAAGAAGTACAAAGTTCTTTTGATAACACAGCATGTTAAAGAAGGGTACAGAAAACAGTTGATTTTAACTTTAGGCATAGACAAATCATGGAGAGAGATTAAAAGCATCTCCCCTCATGTTCTAAGCAAGCCCGGGATTTGCATTAGTGGAGTTATATATAGGTTTGCTTACCATAATGGACGTGCTATAGCAGCATTTGACGTTAAATCTGAAAAATTCAATACTATTATTGCATTGTGGAATGCATATATCTGGGAGAATGATTACAAGTTGATAGAGGTGAAGGATAAATTAGCAGTCATTGGTTATCAAAAATACAGACGCGGATATATCCAATTGTGGATTTTAGAACAGAGACCAGTAGAAGAATGGGAGACTCTTGAAATTCCTTTTCCTTCATTATTGAACGACATACGGTCTCGAGTTACATCAGCGTTCACGTCTTGTGATGGGGAGATTGTATTCATCTTGAACTTAAAACCAGGTACGTTATGTCTGTGTTATGATGTCATGAGAAAAAGTTGGAAAAAATCAGAAATCGAGGGGCTAATTGTTTGAGACAGGTAGAAATAAAAGAGATAGGTCACCTTTGTTATGGATAAGCTAATCAACAATATACAAGATGAGGTTTCATAGATTATGCTTTTTGTTGACGATATTATGTTTAAAAAAACAAGGGTGTCAATCAAAAGTGTAAACTATCCAGAAGCACTGTGGAGAGAAGATCTTAAAAATAAGTAGAACATGTGCAGTGCAAGTTTGTGCAAGTTTATGCAAGTTTATTCAAGATAAAGAGTGAAAGCAGATGCAGTTATTGTGCCTAAATATAGACAATTTAGATATTTACGCTCGTTGTTTCTGCAAAATGAAATTATATATAAAGATGTCATATAGAATCAAAATCAGATGGTAGAACTGGAGACGTGATATACGGGTGTTTTGTTATAAAAGTATGCCTACCAAAGTGAAAGGTAATTAAGTTCTACAGAACAGTTATAAGACCAGTATTTAGCAATACTATATGAGAGTGAATGGTGGGCCGCTAGAATTCAACGCATCCAGAAGATAATGTCATAGAGATGTGGATATTGAGGTAGATATGTCATCATATAAGATTATACAAAATTAGAAATGATCACATTTGCAATAAGGTTCAAATAGCATATATAGAGGATAAAATAACCGCTTGAGATGGTCAGTCATGTCTGCTGTCGTACACCAAATGCTAAAAGACTAAAGATACCTTCAAATAACTGATTGAGCTTCTCCTATCCAGTATAAAATCTTACACTCAATGCATCACAGCTCAAGTATATGAAATAACTTGGCTAAATCAAAGCAAAATGAGTTTAGTTAGGGTATACCAACAGGGTAAACAGCAACATGAGAAAATACAGGCTTAAGAAAAAGGAAGGATTCAATCATTTAAATGAAACTTGCATTGCCATATTCAGTGGGAAATTTTGGAAGCAACATATTTGATGTGCCTCTTTTGATCCTTTCAAAATCCCAGCATCCCTAATTTGACGCATTGGACCGCATAATAGGTGCTTCCATCTTTAACTAGAAAGAGAACAGGCAAAAGCATTTGAACTGCACTCTGGATATCCATTAGCACGATATAGATACAATCTTCTGTACAGAATAAGCAGTTTGATCTTCATATATACAAGCTATTACTACAACCTATTAAAGTTCTAACGATCAAGAACATCAGTAGCAGACCAGCTCTATCAAGGAGATGATCGGTTAAAAGGGTTCCTTCCAAAGGCGGATAGTGAAAAAATGCAATATCGCTTTCTTCATTCTTCTAGCTAGTCATTGAACACCATGCTATCTACAATATAGGATCGACAAACTGATGAAAGAACAGCAACAGGAGCAACTTGTTTCAGGAACCTGATGATGTAGTCTAGACTGTGTCATCAAGACAGCAGGATTATAATGAAAAGGAAACAGGATAACAGTTAGCCAATACTCGCCCTTCATCTGCATGAGATAAAATATTAGTTAGAGTCAGCAGACGGTTAGGCAGCAAGCTGCTTTGAGAGACAACTGTAGGCCGATATCTTCATAATCAAAATCTTTTCCCTAGCAGGTTGCTTCCCTGACAAAACAAAGGTATCAGCAGTATGCACAATGATTTCCAGAACCAGTAACTACTGCATCAGTTAATCAGTATATTATGAATTTCAGTTAAGCAAACAACAAATGGAAGTGGATAAAATCCTTTAAGTAGAACTGAAAGGGTATATGATTAAAAATAAAAACTCTGAAAGAGCATATGGTAACTAGACTGACAGAGATTGATAACTATGATTTCCAGCTCGAAAAAGGAGGACACGTGATATTTTTTAAAGAAGAGAGGAAAGGAGTGTGATCTCTGGCTAATATTGTATGCATTGCAAGAAGCAACAAGGATGACCTTCTCCCTGATTTAGTTCAACAGCACTAAATTAAAAAGTAGGTAAATTCAATATCACATCTTGACTGCAGGCATCAGCTAATACAATATAAACAACGCTGACGGGTCATGGTCACATAGTCCAAAATGAATACATCAAAGCTCCTTTTATCAAATGGACAAACAATCATTTGAGACAAAACATAAATGCAACGCATGGAGCCAATGTTTCCCCCAATAAGGACAAGATTCATATTCAAAATCCCTGGAGGTGCCAATCGTAAGCAGTTTCATTTACAGTCAAAAACAAGAGAGAGAGAGAGAGAGAGAGAGAGAGAGAGAGAGAGATTCGACATGACAGGAGGTGCCAGTACCCAACAAAGTTCAGCTCCGGACACCTTACAGGGCAGCAAAAAGTAAAAGACAAAACTACCAGCAAGCAAGTTTAATTTATCATCAAACAAAATAATTCAAGATAAATTGAAAGAAATAAAGAAGGAAAAAACAGAAAAGGGAAGATCATACTGTTTCTGTGTGTTAGTATGACAAGAAGCATTACTCTACCTTGACAAAAGTAGCTATTACTTCTTTTTACAACTGAAAATTCCCAAAGACCAGTTGGCAAACGGTTCAAGACCCGCTCCGTCTAACCTTCTCCATTTAAATACCACTCTTTTGTTGGCAGTAGAGTTCGAACACAGGAAATGAGCTTAACCCACACATCATGGTTTGCGCTAACTCCGGGGATAATTATATATTACTAATACATTAACAAATATTTCTAATTCCTAGATTTGTTGATATTATAGTTTATCCATAATCTACCACTTATGTGAGCTTCCTACTATTGAAACTTTCAATCAATAAGGGTCATTTGGTATGAGGTATAAGAAGGTATAGAGGTGGTATAAAAATTTAATACCACCTTAATACTATGTTTGGTTAGCAAACCATGTATAAGTTATCCCGATGTTAATTTTAACACCGGGATAACTTATACCTTATAAAGGGTGGGGTAATTAGCACCGGTATAACTTATACCTTCTTCTTAGAAATTATGCAATTGTCATTCTTAATACAACATACCAAACAGTGAATAAACAACAATCCCAGCATAACTTATACCGGCATAACTTATACCGGCATAATCCGTATTCCAACCAAACGACCCCTAAAAGATAAACTTACCACTTATCAACATGTAATACAATTCTTATAAAGAGCATTTATTAGAGGCAGAATTAGAATATCAAGATAAAAGTTTTCAAATATACATGGAGTTGTCAAAGAGTCCAAAAAACGCAAAAATGTATCATGATATCTAGTTTGTTCCCCTGCACACAAAGTATAGATTTTGTAGACATTTAAACTTTATGAAAGAAATGTAACTTGAAGGCATTCGTCTATTTTTTGAGTAAAATCTTTTCAAAACTAACCAAAACAGGAAGAGGATCATATAAAATGGAATGGTAAGAATAGTATTTAGCAACCATATACATGTGCACACTCATACCTCATCAAGCAAAGAATCATATAATTGATGTTCACTGAAGTAGGAAAACATATAATTATGTATCGACCTCTATGGATGGGAACTGGGTGAGGTGGGATAGGAAAAGGCTTGATCAAACTCTTAGTTGTGAACCGCCAGGATGGAAAAGAATTCATTATCTTCAATGAGAGCGAAGAGCTAGGTGCACTATTTAAAACTTTTCAAGTTTAAGATTTTTACTTATATATCCTAGCGATATTCTCTTAATGTCTTGCTCCCTCCATTTCAATTTACGTGACGTAAATTGATTCAGCATGGAATTTAAGAAAAAATAGAAAACTTTTGAAACTTGTTGTCTTAAAAGCTTAAAGGATAAAAGCTCTTTTAAGGCTTCAAGTTGTATGGATATAAAAGTCGGGTAACATGGGCAAAAGAAAAAGTTTAAAGTTACTACCGAGTTTGACTCGACACGAAGTTTAAGAAGAAAAAAAAAAGACTTTTAAAACTTGTTATATTAAAAGATTAAAGTGTAAAAGCTTTGTGGGGCCATAACATTTATGTGGCTATAAAAGCTTTTCATTAAGGGTAAAATGGGTAAAATTGAAAGTTTAAAGTTAGATTGTTTTCAAATATAGAAACGCGTTATTCTTTTAGAACGGATTAATATGGAAAGTGTGTCACATAAATTGAAACGGAGGGAGTAAATTTTTTCCAAATAGAGAAATGTGTCATTCTTTTTTAAATGGAGTAATACGGAAAGTGTGTCACATAAATTGAAACTTAATGAGTTTATTCTGCTGTTCATTTATAATAATTGATGTTTCTTCAAATGTTAATTTAACCATCTAATGAAAACAATGTTATTGGCCGGCGATATACAATACCTAATTTGGAAATTCAATAAACAATTAAAAATGATGAAAAAAGGACTAAAAATTAATGGAAAGAAGAGAATCAGCAAATTGGGCCAGGACAGGGCAAAGTTGGGCGAGGTGGAGTGGGGCGTTAGCAGGGAAAGCATCCCAGCTGATTCTGCGCCATTGCCTTACATATCCTCCTTTAATGGTGAGGAATAAATTTTACTCTTTAAACTTGACTTTGTTTGTAAAGGTGCTACCTAAGGAACGGTTTTTTCATAAAGATTTAAGTGAGTCTCAAGACAAGTTCTTCCCCCCACCCTCTTTCTCTTCTCGTACATGACCACCACTTAAGAACGCATAGTCCCATGTAATTAAGCCACTACGTAACTGTCCAATCAGATCAAGGTACTTTTAGTCAAAATCATTTGAGCATTTCCTAAAAGAGAAAATTAACAATGAGATATGCAAAATATTCATAATCATAGCTCATGTTACAATTGGTACTTGGACACCAACAGACAGTATTCCGTTGTCCATTTGATCCCGTTAATATTTAACTTAGTTATAGTACTACCATTGTTTCAATACTTGACCAATTTTCCATATAAATAGAAGAAAATTTCATCAGTATAGCTGCCTCCACTGTGTACATACTTGACCTACTTCCCCCTAAATTCCATTCCCAAAATAAAACTTCCCCTTGAACGTAACTTTTTTTCCCCATAATTATATCAAGCTTCTTGATATCTTCTCAACTAAATATTCTATTTTTCCACATTTCAAAACCTCATTTTTAACCCTCTTTTTCCAACTCAAAATAATAAATTACACTCTAAGAGGATGTGCGATAAGCTCAAGCACTAGTATTTTTTGGCTTACTTATGCATTTGGTAAACCTCAAAAGTGCTTGTAAGTCATAAGCTGGTCACCTCTAACTTATAGTCTTTACAGTTTATAACCACTTCTGAGTTCTGATCTTACAGGATTTTTATTATTTTATCCCTAATTAACTTTTAATACCAAAGTACCCTTCCTAAAAGAAAACCCCTAACTCCCTCTGTGTGTGTGTAGAGAGAGAGGGGGAGGGGGGCACTTCAGTCATCTTAACAAAAAAAGTGCTTATTATCAGTTACAGTACTTTTAATCAATCATGTAACCGCTTATTATAAATCAACTTTAGTATTTAATGCATACTAGTTTTAATTGACTAAACCAAACGGGCTCTAAATATAATAGCTAGTTTAACCTTTTTTTTAATAATAGTGGCATCCACACTTCGAGTAAACTAAGTAGTGTTTAACTTTGTCCACTAAGACTAAGGTAGAAAGGAAACAATCTAGCGTTTTTGTTTCTGGTCTCCCTTGATTTTCACCAACTTTATTGACCTCACACCCTTGGCTGTAAAAAATAAAAAGAAGCTCAACTATTATGGGACGAGAGAATACTTCTTAGCAGTTATTTGAGGAGTTCTTTAGACATGGAATCTGAAGAGGAAGATATCTACCAGGGGAAAAGCACAGCAAATCAGAAACAAAATCATCCTCTGAATCATTAAAAAGGCAATCAAGGATGGGAAAGGGAATTCCTATTAAGCAGCATGAAAAGAAGTTCAAATCCATTAAACAAGCACAGTAAGATGCATTCAAACTGCATATAGTATATTTAAAAAACAAAACAAAAAACTCAGGGAAAGCAATTGGAGTCCCAACCAGCTTTTGGCGACACATCCAAAAGTTGCCAAAGCTAGACAATTTTAGGACTGCCCCAATTGTAATAAAATCAGTCTCATCAATTCCAAATTCTGAGGGCTTAAAACAGCTTCTAAAGAGAGATTCAGAATAAAGGCCATAACTAGCTAGAGTAACAACTGACAACCAATACCAGTACAAACTGATTAGAAAACATGCCGCTCAACGCCATTACAGTTTTGAGTTTAACAGAAATTATTGACTGAATGTTTTAATTACCTCAGCAAATGATGTACCAGAAATGGTTCTGCTGCATCATGTTCAAAATTGCATCAACTCCTACAAGTTAGTCAATTACAAATGGCAAGCTTCCCTGTCCATTCATCTGCTACCCCATAATCAAGACTGATCTCCCTAAGAGGAGGGATATTCTCCATTGCAAAGAGCATCAGGTGGGGGAAAGATACATTGTTGTGATCATAAAGCACGGGCTGCACCAACACGTTGGGGCTTGAACTGTGACTCATATAACATGCTACGTTCCTCATTCTAGACACATCCATCGCGAAATCCAGAGGAGGAATGGAGGGGTATGCTGGCCGCACATAGTCAGGATATATTTGGGACAAATCTCCCCATTCTGCCCACCTCTCAGGAAAGCGATTTGGATAGACTAAACTATCACCATTCATTGTAAAAATTTGGGCTTGCTCTCGTGTGAGTACGACCCCAGTAAATTCACAGATGAAGGACCCAGCTTGGATCAAGTCCAATGACCTAACTCCCCAACCAGTCTCTCTAGACCGAAACACTTCAAATCTGTGCCTCAAACCCTTTTGACTCACTCGATTCCGGCAAGTTGGAGGACACTGACAATGTGGTCCACATTCAAACACTAACGGTTTGCCTCTCACCAATATCCCATTATAATCATAGGCAAATTGGCCACCATTTCTCATAGCACAAAAACAATTATCCACACACCCATTAACGCACTCACAGCCATTTCCACTGCCCACATTCTGGTACACGTACGGAGGAAAAACAGTCTTCAACAGATAATCAAAGTAAGCAGGATCATGATTATCATCGATATCATTGAAAAGAAATACTGGCACGTTTTCTTTTTTCCTCGATATATCTAGACTAACATACCCCGTAGGCCTTGCCACCAAAGGTCTAATCCTAAGATTCTGCGCAAACCTAAGAATGGCACTTCCCAACTCTTCCTGATTCTCAATCCTAACAAGCTTGTACTTATACACTCCAAATCCAGACTTCCCAACATCAAACCAACATTCAACAATTCTATACAATCCATCATACACATAAACTTTACCACTAGCACTACCTTCGTACTTAAAGCCGCGAATTACCCTTACCTCAATTCCATAGTGCATACTCCGCTCCAA